TTTCGCATTGTGGTTTTGATTTGCAGCTCTCTTATTGCCAGTGATTTGGAGCATTTCTTCATGTGTGTTTGCCATCCAAATATCTTCCTCTGAAAATTCTTTCCACATCTTTTGCCCAGTTTTGTAATTATGTTTTCAGTCTTTCTCCAGTGGAGGTATTGTAGGATTCTGAGAACTTCTGATATGAGGCCGTTGTCTGAGATGGTATTGCCAAAAGCTTGTTCCCAGTCAGTAGTTTTTCTTTTCACCCTGAAAAGTTACAAGAGGGATTTACTCTTTAGAAGGTCTCATCCATCAATTGTATCCTCTCCATATTGTGCATTTCTGGCTGTATTTGTCAGTCTTTTTATATCATAAACTAGGCCTTCTAAGCTTGATCCCAGTTTGTCTCTGACGAACTTTATTGGTTTTGGGCTTTACACCCAGGTCTCTGATCCACTTTGAGTTGAAATTTGTGTATGGTGTGAGAGGTAGCAGCAGTCCAGTTTTGCCAGAACCATTTGCTGCAGAGGTGGTTATTTCCCCAGTTTTGTCAAATATCAGTTGAATATAGATAGCTGGGTCCATTTCTGGGATCTCAATTCTGTTCCATTGGTCTATGTGCTTGTCATTGTACCAGTACCACTTGGTACAATACCATTGTACCAATGCTGTTTTGATTACTACCACTGTGTAGTAGGTTTGAGGTGAGGAAGTGCTATACCTCCCACTTCATTTTTGTTTTTCAGAAGTGGACAAAGCAAAATATTTTAATGGTATCAGCAGAGCTAGAATTGAAGTATAAAAAGGGAATAACTTGCTCAGCAATTCTCAAGCTGAAAAACAAGTTTAAGCCTCAAGATGCAATACTGAGAGATGCTATGGGCAAAATCTTGCATGATACAGTAGAGAGGGAGAAGATAGATGGAGGGAAAACACAGAATCACTGTACCAAAAGTAATTGGGGAGAAAAAAATTGACCGACCTAGACATATTTCAGGAAGTATCATATGATCAAGAGCCAAAAGTGATGAAGAAAGAAGTTGAAGCTACACTGGAAGCATTGGCAAAAACAAAAAATAAAGCCCCAGGAATTGATGGGTACCAGTTGCCATGTTTCAAATGACAGATGAAGCCCTAGATGTGCTCACCAGTCTATTTTGAAGGACAGCTGCTCGATTGATTGCCTGGAAGAGATCGGTATTTGTTCCTACTACCAAGAAAGGGGATCCAATAGAATGTGGAAATTATCAAACAATATCACTAATAGCACATGCAAGCAAAATACAGCTGACAAACACTGAAAACCAGCCAGAACAATAGATTGATTGAGAGTGCAGAAATTTGAGTTGGATTTAGAAAAGGCCATGGCACCAGGGATGTCACTGTTGGTGTCAAATGGATCATGACTAAAAGCAAAGACTACCAGAGAAAGTCTATTTATGCTTTATTGACTATGCAAAGGTATTTAACTATGTGGATCATAACAAATTGTGGCTAACATTGAGAAGAATGAGATTTCTAGAATACTTAACTGTGCTCATGTGAAATCTAGACCTAGACCAAGAGGATGCTGTGCAAACACAAAAAAAGCAAACACTACATATTCTTTCTCCATACTTATTCAATTTGTATGCTGAGTAAATTATTTGAAAAGCTGGAGGAATGTGACATCAGGAACAGCTAAAATCTCATTCTTTCTCTTTCACATTTCAGAAAGGTCTCCAACATGGCTTTTGATTTCTTGACTGTTGTTATATGGATTGTAGATCCAAGTAACTGACAATTTCACACTTTTCTACATCATTATGCTGCCTATTTGACCCAGTGGCATGAGGTGTGTTTTGTTTTTTTTTTTGGTTAAGAAGCTAAGCTGCAATTCCAAAGGCATAGGGCTTGAGTTCACCAGTCACTTCATGGAAGGAAAGGCAATCTCCTCTCCAGGAATTTACTGTCTTTGAAATCCCACTGGAGGGTCAGCAATGAGTTGGTTCTGACTCAGTAGCACACAACAAGCATCAATCTGTAATCCTCTTCATAAAAATCTTTTAAGTCTTCCTCACTTTTTTACAAGGTTGTATCATCTACGTAATGTAGAATGCTCACCTTCAATTCTGTTAACACATTCTTTATAGAGTCCAGCTTCTCAAATTATTGGCTCAACATATATATTAAGTAGGTACGGAGAAAGGACACAACCCTATTTAAACAAGGCATTATTTCTTTGTTCTGTGTGAGTTGCTACTTCTTGGTGTATTTACCCGTTTCCCATGGGTACAATTAAATGTTCTGAAATTCCAACTTAAGACTCTGCCTCTTCAGATACCTTTTTTCTTGAGATCTGACCTACAGACCTGGGAAATGTCTCTACAAGTACATGAGCCATTTCCTTGAACTGTATCTCTAATCTTCAATAGTTTTGTTTCTCCAAGAACTGAGGTTGTGCACTTAAATTCTCTTAACTTGATCAAGAATTTGATGGGCAGTGAAAAACACAGGCAGCAGTAAAGTACAGAAGGCATGATGGCATGTCATACTGCCAACACAAAAGCTCCATAAGGATAGGATGGACAATCTTCTCCCATGTGGTTTACAGCCGGTGAAAACCCTCTGGGGGGTCAGCAATGAGTGACTCCAACTTGACAAGAATTTGTGTTGTTGTATGCTATTTAAAAATTTTGAAAAAAAATTCATTTGGGTTTCTTTTTAAACTAATTTCACCTCTAAAACTGTTATTGCAATATTAAACCCTTGTAATGAACTTCTGTGTGTGTACCTGCCCCCCCCCGCCATTTCCTGTTTCTTTTAATTTTCCCTTTACTTGTATTCTTAAGCAGTTGCTGTCAAGTAGCCTTGAACTCATGGTGACCCCATTTTTGTTAGAGTAGAAGCATGTTCTGCAGGATTTTCAGAGGCTAGTTTTTCAGATTCATACTGTCACTATTGTTGAGACAGTATCAACACAGTTAACCCCCCGTGCAGGTTTCTGAGGTTTTAAATCACATACGAGACTGTCTGACATTTCCTCCCACAGAGAAGACATATAGCCTTTGGGTTGGCAGTGCACCTCTCTTTGGATTATGCCAGCAGAGTGTTGTTTTGTTTTTGTGAATCTTAGACTGGAGGGCCATTCTTTCCAGGTAGTTCCAGTTGGGTTCAGACTGCCAAGCTTTTGGTGAGCAGTCAAACACGTTAGTCATTCGCACTACCCAAGTACTTTAACATGCACATTAAAATATTATCAACTTTTACATTTTAGGTACTTTCAGCTCCCGAAAGTTGTCCTGGTAATTTAATTTCCTGTTTTTATTAATATAATCTTTCCAGAACTTTTTAAACCAAATTTCACACAGAATTCTGTTATAATCTAAAGATCTTAAATAATAAAATACCAAATTGGACCAAAGGTTTTTAACAATGAGGCTTAATTAGATATGTGGGTTGTTTTTTTTTTACCATAATCCCAGATCTATGTTCTAGTTCCACTTAGAAGTCATGACAATGAATTAGAGTAGATTAGGAATAGGAGAAATGAGGAAAGCCTTAGGTAAGGCAGTAGAATGTGGGCATGTGTACACTTAGGGGCAAAGAAAGGCAGGACTTTGTGAATGATGGAGAAGGGGGAAAAGGAAGAATAACATCTACAATTCTGCTTTGAATGATTGTAAAAACTGGTAATTTAATTGCTCCAAATAAAGATCAGATTTTTTAATACATTAAGCACTTACTGTTCAGTCTCAGATGAGTTACATTGTTGTACATCTGAACCTACTCATCGCTGACCCTCCCACACGCTTTCAGAGGCTATAAACTGCATAGGAGTAGTCTTTGGGTTGGCAGAACAACTCCTTACCCAGTAGGCCCCTTGAGCTAATAGCCCAAAGCTGCATTATTCTTTATAAAAATAATTATTTTCTCCAGCACAGTGGTTTCCAAGATAAGTCTAAAGAGACTTAGCATTATCTAAATCTAGAGACAAGTAAAAGGTTCTAAGGCAACATTTATGTTTTCTATGTCAGTATTTCTAAGTCACAGGGTATTTTTATTTTGAATGAAGATTAAATGAAGATGATCAATGTTTATAAAGATCAGTTTTTACTAAGATAAAAGAAATATATAAAAAGGAAAATGAACAAAAAACTCATCTTTCAACATTATAAATAAAACCATATGGAAGAGGGTAGAGGTGATTAATTAGAGGGTCACACAATTTGATGGGTGGGTAAAAGAAATGAAAAAGGTCTGGTGTGAAAAACAATTTATACGAATTTTTACGTAAACCAGTATAAAATAAAAATTTTATTTTTTAAAAAAAGTATGGAAGAAAATTTCATCACAAAATATTATAATATTTTTAAATAGTCATTCTATTATATATTCATTTTTATAAACTAATTTCCTTTAAACCAGCCAGAAAACCTGTTTTTACTGTTTAACCAATAATAAAAATACAGAAGTAAATACTTACTAAACATATTATTTTAGATATATACCTATCACTTTATTCCTAAAAAGAATTTTCATTTTATTTAGAGTCATTAGGATATTTACATTTAAATATTCCAATGTAATCTATGTATAATAAGCAAGCAGGAACTGCTCAAGTGAAGCCAAAAGAGGCTGATTTGGCTTTGTGAAAAATGAAAGATAATTTAAAATGTAAAAAAACTGAGCTTAAAAAAACAACTCAAACCACATGTCTTATTACATCTTACGCCTAAAGATTTCTTATCAAAGCTTTTTCTTTAAACCCATCATTTACTAGCTCAACAGATGGATTATAAAAATGAAGAACATAATTTTTCTTCCAACTTGCTGGTTTTATACTTGATTGATCGCTTTAACAAAATAATTTTAGAATATGTGAAGAATTGAATTAAATTATTTTGAACATTTTTTCCAGGAGGTTTTGCTAATGGGTTTGTTTTTACATACAGGTTTTAAACATGTCTACCATAGGTAGTAGACAGAAGCAATTATTTGAAATTATAAAAGCTAGCAAGAAAACTTGCACTTTAACATCACTGCTTTTTTCTTTTCTTGTAGGAATCATTACTGTGAACTCGCACACGCTGATGCACTGAGGACTCCATTTTCAAGCTGTCTTTCTTAGTAAAGGTCTTCTCTATGGCTCCAGGTTTCCAAAGAAGCAACTGGGCATCTTCTCCCCCAGTTAGCAAAGACTCCTCCTGTGCATTCCAACAGAAAGAACGGACTGTAGCAGCATGCCCACCCTGCAGGCTCATCACATGGCTCAATCCTGAAGCCGTACAGCTCAGTAAGTGAATCTTTCCGGAGTTTGTTCCTCCAACCACAAATAGTTTGTCCAACTTTTCATGATATAGCCCACCAATCAAATAGTCCAAAATATTTTCTTTCACATTAATTACTTCTCTGACATCCTGGATGTTCAAGCGTGTCATTGATTCATCGGAATCTAGATGATTAAGATCCCACCAACAAAATCCTTCATCATGCGTCATGCAGTAAATTTGTTTATAATCTTTCCCAGACCAACCAAGATAGCTAACTGATGAAGCAGAATTGCACGTTGTAACCAGCGCATCATCTTCGTTATCAAAACTAATGTCAAATACGTTGACAAGGCCATCAGTTGAACCAGACACAACCATGTTACGGTTGCTGGGATGGAAACACACTTGAGTGATATCATCACTGTGTGTCTCTGAATATGTTCCCAGTGGGTCTCTGGTAGACAAATCCTGAGAATTCATTCTTGCATCCCAAAATACCAACAACGCATCATCATCAACTTTTTCTGTGCCAGCACAAAGGACATGATCATCACAATTGATATCAAAACTGATGAAAACATTAGAAGGGTAACCCTTGAACAGCTGGACAGGCTTATTACTGGCTAATCGAGCATCCCAACATTTTACAGTGCCATCAGCACCTGCAGAATATACACTGTCACAAGAATTTGCAAACCGCACTCCATTAAGAACTCCAGGATGTTCGGTAAATTCGCGTAAGATGTTTAACCTTTCTTTATCATATATTCTGATTGATCCATTAGAACATAAGACAGCAGCCAAGCCTCCTTTATCCGCTTGTACAGTCTTTGATGTGTCTATTCCAAGCAGATAAGTGGGCTCTTTCTTTTCTGAAGAACGTTTAACAATGTGTAGATTAGCAAACAGTTCCTCAATCTTCTCCATATCAAGAGCAGCATCCACAGGTAGTAAGAAAATCTGTTAAAACAAAGCAAAAAAAGGAGAAATTTAAATGAAACTTCAAGGTTCTTAAAAATTGTAACGGAACTGAAATTTTCTGAGAGCTGGCACAATTCACAAGAAATTAAAATTTCTCCTAATATTTTAATCATTTCCTTATCATGTTGTGCTTAAAATTCGGCTCAGTCTTGAATCTACTGTATTATGCCAGTAAGAGAATTGGGGAAGGGGGGACGCATATACTTCTCAGTAATTCCTTTTTAGTGTAAAACCAATTATTGGTCTTGATCACAGTCAGTGGCACCAACCACGATTTTTCACTTAGAAACACAGTTTTGTCTTGGCCCCTGCTATCTCATGTAATTTGGAAAGTCAGAGGGAGGGGAGATGCCATGATGGAAGAAAGGCACAGAAAGACGCAATGGTGTTAGTTTTGAAGACGAGGAAAGGCAGTCACCAGCCAAGGAATTTAGGAGCCTCTAGGAACTAGAAAAGACAAGGAAACAGATTTTCTCTTAGAGCCTCCAGATGGCAACAGAGACTTGCCAACACTGATTTTAGACCAGTGGGACCCATTTCATACTTCTGACTTAAGAAAACGGCAAGATACTAAGTTTACTGTTTTATCATTATTATTAATTTTTTTCATTTGTATTATTTTAAAACCGCCAAGTAGACTGTACTTTGTTACAGCCACAATATAAATTATAGGATACTCCTGAGGCAGTAATATCTTGCAAATAGGGAAGCTGGGATTGAACTAAGGCATTCTAGCTTCAGAAATGTGCTCTACCCACCACACTGGATTGCCCCTCCACGGCAGGTTGTGTGGAGAACAGGCATAAGGCTAGGGAAAAACAGCCATCCCAGCTGCTGTGGGTGAAAAATGGACAGTCTTCTCCTGTTAAGATCTGACAGCCTTTTAAACCTGATGGAAGGTTCCTATGAGGTAGAACTGATTCGACGGCAGTCAGCTCGCTGAGTGGAGCACTGTTGAGTGACTTCATCACAACTTTTTCCAATGTGCTTTGCACTAAAGAATATTGTAGCCAGCCTCATATTTTCACTCTTAAGATAAAACACCCTTTTAATTTTATTTCTTTTTTTTTTAATGTTATTGTTATGTTGGTAAGCTGTGTCTTTAAAATGAGTTCATGGAGTCTACAACTTAGAGTGGGGTTTCATTCCAATGACTCCACCGGAGAACAGATCTGTTGTTAAGTCAAACAATCATTTTTAACTTGTCTTATTATTATTGCCTTCTATTATCATTATTATTATATTCCAATCTTTATTTGTCTTTGGTGGTTAGAGACAGTAGGTATGAGAGAGAGTAGAGACACAGTATCAGCAAACTATGCATTCCAACACTGTAGGCAATATCTATTACTAACAACACAATATTTTTTAAAGATGGTTTACTGTTGGTCATAACTTGAATGCTTCATAAATCAGGAACGACCTGATTGGTCAACTCACTGACCTGTTTTGTCAACTCACCGCTGTGTAGTTGGTTCTGACTCACAATAATCTACCATTAGGTTTCCAAGGCTGTGAACGGTAATGACAGATTGTCCATCTTTCTCCCGAGGAGCTGAATCACTCACAAATTCGAATCACCAAGAAGCACAGCCTTGGTTCAGCAGCACTACTGTGCCACCAAGCATCACCACTGTCCAAGTGATTAAGACTCAGAGCGACTCTCCTGAGCACCATTACTCCATGGGATTTGGAGACCACAAATCTATACTGAAGCAGTGTATCTCACCCTTCTCCTGTAGAGAAGATAGTTGGTTTAACTGTTAAGGCTTAACTCACTGTGCCACTTCTAAGTTTTAATTTTGTGCATTTAAACACTTAAAAAAATATAAAATGATAGTACAAACATTCTCCACTAATTTATATGGTTAGGGTCCAAAGACCACATTATTATAGAATTCAATGTCATGTGAGTCTGGGAACATATCTTCAGATCTGATTAACTCCCAGCCCTCACTACACATTGGGCAGCTGATAGATGTCTCAGGATACACCTGATGTGGAAGGATCTCTTTCCCCGCCACCATGGAGCTAGTGTTTGGAAGTGGTGATGGTGGATAGGTATTGTCAGCTGCCTCCCACAGCTCGCTCTGGTCTTCCATCCACACTGGCCCTATTACTGTCTTCCCAACCAATCTCTGCCAGGCCACCAGTAATCTCATGTAATCCCATGGCCAGTTGGTCATTTTCCCTCATGTGGCCTGGTCATTGCTTGGGCCTTCAGTAAATCATTCAGAGTGGCCCATGAAGTGTGTCCCAGGTCCCTCAGTAGATCCATATGGGGCCTGGACCACTGATGGCACCACTGTAGCATTTTCAAAGTTGTCCTAAATGTGAAATGTTGGCTAACAAGAGTAGGTGTACAATGAACGTACATTCACCAACCGCTACTTGTTGCCATATTTGCTTTCTCTCTCTAAAAACATACACATATATTACACATACATAGCTATTTTTTAAAAAAAAAACTATTTGAAAGCTAGTTATAGACATAATATCTCTTCATATCTAAACAGATCAGCCCTAGGACACCTCCAAAAGCATTTGTTTTACATGAAGTTGAGCTATGAATTGGTTCCAACTTGATGGGCCACAACAAAAACAATATTTGGGTCGACGACTTCTGGTAGCTTAGTGGGAAGGGGTTGTACTGCCAAGTCAAAGGCAAATAGTTTGAATCCACCTGCTGCTCTGTGGGAGAAAGATGAGCAACCTCCACCCATGCAATTTCCTGCCTCTGAAAACTCACTGGAGGGTCAGCTATGAGTCGGTTTCAACCTGATGGCAAACAAGAACAACAACAGTATTTAGGTGGTTCCAGGTACTTCTTATTCCAACACACAAAGGAGGCAAACAAGGCTAAGTTTAATCATTTGCTTAATGTGATTCTATTCCTCCCTTTATAATTAGAAGAAATCTTAGAATAATACTTTTTGAGACTGGATTAATATCCTTTCCCAGTAATCTTTCAACCAATTATACTAGGATCTACTGATCTTTGCGGAATCAACTACTAACTACTATATTAGGATCTGGAAAACAGTCATTATTTTCACTAGATTACTTGGAAATCCTCTGTAGGGAGGAGCTTTTCCATTTTTCTTTGTGTATTACCAAGAAAGTATGATTTATAAAAATTTTGTTCTAATCTAGAATGAAATTATAGCCAATATGTAAGAACCAGGTAAGTCTCGATTAGGTGAGCTCCCTTCACCACTGGTATCCAGGCTAAATGACCTGGCAGGCACTGCTATAGCATAGCTGCTGGTCTTTCCAACAAAGACAGACAAAAATAGCCATCTTTCCTTGAACATGTCAACAGCTGCTTCTGCCTCAGGGCCATCATAATAGCTGCTTCTCTGCCTGGAATATTCTTTTTTCTGTATTCCTGCGTAAGTAAACTCTTCCATGTTATTCAGATCTCAGTATGTCTCTTTCCCAGAGAGACTTCTCTAATTAACTGACATAAATAGTCTCTGTGACTCCCTATCAAATTTGCCTGCTTTACTTGAAAAATCCAAACATTAAAGAAAGGGAAGGCACAGAGAGGTGCACAAGGGCTTTTGATAACAACAGGCCATTTCATACACAACCCTCCATTATCAGTTAATAACAAACATTATTCTACAAGTGTATTGACAGACAGGTAAAATTAACAGGTACAAAGATGTGAAAGGGATAATAAACAAGTCTGGCAGAGGATATATTCATATGTGTATCTGTATGTGTTCCAAGCATATCTATCTATCTATATCTATATATATCTGTATCAATATATAGTAGAGACAAGAGGGGTAAAAGTTATATAAATTGCTGAAGGTTTTGGTAATGGAACCTCAAGAACAGTCTCTGAGAATATCAAGGTCAATTAGCCTAGCACAAATACAGGGTATATTCTGGACCCTACACTACTGAGTAGCAATGAGTGCCTTAAAAGCTTGTAAGCAGCCATCTAAGATGCCGTCATCTCTCTCTGAGCAAAGAAGACCCACAGAAACAGTTAGTCCACAGCACTAAGAGACCTCATGAACCTCAACTTCCACAACTCTGAGAGATCAGAAAAACTAGAAGGTGCCAATATAATTTCTGACCAGTCTGAAAAGGCTCAGAGACAACAGAGGCTTGGATAAAGTGAGAAAAATAAATATAGAACAAAACTAAAAATCATCAAAATGACCAGGCTTACTAGTCTGTTGAGACTGGTGGGACCCTGAAGACTATAGTCCTTTGAATCCTGCTCTGAACTCATCCTTGTGGCATAACTTTCAACCAAATAAAAGACTAATGTCTAGGGTGAACTGTATCACCAGGGAGGTACGCATTCCTTAAAACAACCCATCATACAAGATCAAATGGGCAAAACAGCATTTGCTCAAGGACACAGACCAGAAGGCAGGAAGTACAAGGACAAAAAAATGAAAGGAAACAAAAATCAAAGACAGACAGTGGGCAAAGTAAAAATGTCAATGAAAAATGTTTAATACCCACAATCATTAGCAGATTTAACAGATATTAATATTTTGCCTTATTTGTTTTAGTACTTTTATTTAGAAAAACACCACAGACACAAACAAAAAACTTCCTCCTATGATTCAGAATTTATAACAATGGCATCACATGATCTATGTATTTTTTAAATCAGCGCTTCTTGCTGTCCAACTTATTATCTGACACTTTCTAGTTTATTTACTTATTATTAATAAGTTGTTTCAGAATAGATGAATGAGTTAATTGATTGAACTTTTATTTATTAAGATCTTAAGAGACCTAGGAAAAACAGAATAAACCCAAAAGGATGCTGCACATGTCTATGCTTGTTGGAAGAACTTTGATCGTAAAATTTTACTTTAAACAAAACACAAAAAAGGAAATATAGAGGAAGATCTTTTATTTATGAAGAAAAACACATTTTTGTTATTTTTTTACCAAATGTAATAAGTATTATA